GGAGCTAGTGAGAGCAAACACCCTATGCTTCCCCTTGATTCATAATTTTTTTAGTAACTAAATAAAAAATTCCTGGAATATTTATACTTTATGCAGCAAGCACATTGAGACATGTTGTCAGTTTCCATTTTAATTACTGTTCTAATTGCTTTTCATTTTAAATCCTATCATAAACCTACTCCATACCACCTGCTTATTCACAGTAAAATGGAAAGAGAGTGGGAAGAGAGAGGAGAACAGAAATTATGGCTTAAATAAATTCATCTTAATCTTAGGCATTCAAAAATATGCACATAGAAGAACACTGCTTCTACTACTTGAGGGTATGAAGTAATGTAATCAAGAAACAGCATGCACTGTTATCTAAATCAGCTTGTGTTTTACATAAGAAATTCTAGACACTCAGGCATAAAACTTACCCAACATAAGTGTCTCTGTTATGTTCAAATAACATCGGTTCTAAGTTATTCTATAAACCACTAAAGATTTGGGGTACACTTTTTAATTTATTTTTATTTATTTATTTTTTGGGGGGTATACTTTTTTAAAATCAGAATTTCACATAGTGTGATTTTCTGTCCACTTGTCACCTACAAGTGTTTATGTAAAGTGCCAATTCTAGTTCCTATTCAAGTCATTATCTGTAGGGGCTGAGAACATAATGATACATTTTTAACAAGACCTCCAGGTGATTTCAGTGTACATTAAAGTTTGAGAGCTAGTCTCTCTGTACTTGTATTGTGTGAGGGTTTCACTGACATGCTTTGCTTGAGGAGATGATGCTCATGATGGAAAGATGTTGAGGATGGGCATCAGGAAGAGGCTGCTCTCCATACAGAAGCTGATGATGGCTGAGTGACTTGTTCATTCTGACCACCAATATGTTTATTTATACAACTGTGATAATATTTCAGTTTGCTTCTTAGAGCTGATGTGAATATCAAATGAGATCAATCAATCCAGCAAAAACAATTTGCAAAATGAGACACCTTTTACAAACAGTGAATCTTAGATAAAAAGTTTTGTTTTACCTTCACAAAGACTAAGATATATTTTACAACTATTCTGGTACAGACAGTAAGAAAAAAAAATGGAAAATTGTCATTCCAGAATACAACAAAGTAGGCATGAAAACCTGCTTTGAGTTTATTTCAACAGCTGACTCAGAAGCTAGAAAATATGATGCATACATCAAAATACATCCAAAGCTTACAGCCTGATGGTCACCTTAAATAAATTTAGTTAGTCACAATAAGTTATGACTTGCAATGATTGATAATGAGGATATTAATTATATTTATGGCACCAATGTTTAGTGCCCCAAAAAACAGAATGGTTGTAACATCAGCAATATTTATTGAAGTGACACTGAAGACACAATATATGGATTTACTCTTCACCTACTAGATTTAAGACTTTGATTAGATCATGTGATGATACATGCAGGACATCCTGGAATTACTGCATATCAAAAGGACAACTCTGCTGACAGCTTCCCCTTGAGACATCTACAAGTCACCAAGTTCCAGAGAGTATATGTCTGGAAATGGTATCAGTGACATACTGTTAATGGGTGAATCACTTATCTGCAAAAAGTCCTCCACCTCAGTTGCCATTAGAGGTCACTGATTATTTTTATTCAGGACAAAGAAACATTTACATTAGCTACAGTTTTTCCTGTACAATGCCTAAAGTCTATGTTAAGGACAAGCAATCAGAAATTTACAGGGAAACCACCATGATGACCATCATTGTGTGGGGAAAGAGAGGGCTGATGCATATCCCTGGTAATACAGATAGGACAACTGTTAAATTTCAGGCAACCAGAATCCTGTTTCTTCTATAAAATTCTAGCTTAGAAAGAGACTACTGAAATAATCTACCTAAAGGAGACAAACACAAATATTTTCAAGATAATCAGCTGAGCTAAGTAAATAAGACCTATGGCTGTCACATAGAGACATTTGGATTCACGTACTAGAAAGATGGGGGCTTCGCAGATGTCTCAGTGATAATCCACCTGTCAATGCAGGAGCCTCAGGAGAAGTGGGTTTGATCCCTGGGCTGGGAAGATCCCCTGGAGGAGGAAATGGCAACCCACTCCAGTATTCCTGGGATAATCCAATGGATAGAGAAGCTTGGTGGGCTGCAGTCCATGGGGTCCCAAAGAGTCAGACAGGACCGAGCAACTGAACACCTACACACTAGAAAGAGAGAGACCACTGTTCTGTGGATTCTGATTCACCTGAGCCTCTTGTTTCTAAATGATTTCTGAAAGAAGCTGAGAATGATAAAGATCATGCAGCTTTTCAATAGCAAGGACCAGATTACAACTCAGTTCTACTAATAGATTCAATTTGGGTTTGATTTATAATCAAAGCTAGGGACATTTGAACGTGTATGAAATAATTTATGTATTTCCTAAGCTCAAATTTGCAAGAAAGAAGATTTATACATTTTATTTTAAACTATCAATTTATGACTTTTCATTTAGAAACTTTGGCTGAATAATTACTACAGTTTCTAAATGCTTGATTACACAACTAATTTATACTTTATTTTTTCTTATTTTCTCATATTTTTTCTTATTTTCTTTATTATGACCTGCTATATTTTGTTCCTATATGTAATGTACATGCCCTTTCAGTAAGAAGTATATATCCACATACTTATACAGACACTTCAATTGTTTTCTGATACATCTACAGACTAGGTGGCCAATGGATAAATTTTATATATGGCCTAATTTTCTAAAAAGTTAGTCAATGAAATTGTTTCTTCAGTAACATGGTGCATAATAGATTATTAACCAACTAAATTGTGGGATTTTATTTAAATGAATTCTTGAGCTACAACTAGGATTCCAGATGGCTGGTATATTTAATAGGCAATGTGGGAAAATGTAGAAGGTTAGGAGAGTTGCCTCAAAAATTATTAAATAACTTTTAAAACTTTTTGACATGCTGGCGATACTACTCAAACACTGCAAAATGCTTTTATACCTCAAGTACCACTAATAAACAGGTGAAACTCATAAGCACATGTTCTCACCTTTAATAGGGGACAGAATACATATAAAAGCAAGGTCCTAAATAAATTATAAATTTATAACCAGATGTTGTAAGGGTAGATAAAAAAAAAATACGCTCTCAAAAAGCTAATAGCCAGCTCATTAAGGACACAGTCACCTTCTGCTTTTCTAACAGTTACATTGTAAATGAACACCATAGAAAATAGATATTATGGAAAAAACAGCCACAGTTAATAGAGAGAAAATAAAGGAAAGGAAAATGGACAATTTGAGAAGTTATCCTCAATGCCTTTTGGTCTATGTATTAGGTGCTAAAAGAAAAAAAACTGCATTTTATTAAACCATGGTGAAAGCCGCCAGTATTTTATTTTTATAAAATATACAAGTTAAAGCATCTTTTTTCAGAAATACTTAACTGCAATTAATATTTATCCCCTAGTGGTATAAAAGATTTATATTTAGAGGGCATATGCCAAAATCACTGCAGATGGTGATTGCAGCCATGAAATTAAAAGATGCTTACTCCTTGGATGAAAAGTTATGACCAACCTAGATAGCATATTAAAAAGCAGACACATTACTTTGCTAACAAAGGTCCATCTAGTCAAAGCTATGGTTTTTCCTGTAGTCATGTATGGATGTGAGAGTTGGACTATAAAGAAAGCTGAGCACTGAAGAATTGATGCTTTTGTACTGTGATGTTGGAGAAGACTCTTGAGAGTCCCTTGGACTGCAAGGAGATCCAAACAGTCCATCCTAAAGGAAATCAGTCCTGAGTGTTCATTGGAAGGACTGATGCTAAAGCTGAAACTCTAATACTTTGGCCACCTGATGTGAAGAACTGACTCATTTGAAAAGACCCTGAGGCTGGGAAAGATTGAAGGCGGGAGGAGAAGGGGATGACAGAGGATGAGATGGTTGGATGGCATCACCGACTCAATGGACGTGAGTTTGAGTAAGCTCCAGAAGTTGGTGATAGACAGGGAGGTCTGGTATGCTGCATTCCACGGGGTCATAGAGTTGATGACTAAGCAACTGAACTGAAGTGAACTGCCTCTTAAAAGATTATATTTCTAGGTAAGAATTATTTATCTTAACGTGTAATGAAATAACAGAAAGAAAGGGAAAGGAAATGTTGAATTTCAAGTGCCAGTGGAAATGCTGAACCATTGGTTGGAAGTCAAGAATAAATAATCTGGAAGGAAACTATGGCTTGAAATTGATTTTATGAAATTCCTGCTGAGAATTTTAGCTAAAACTATGGATTTTAATAGTCTATTAGTGATGAGATAAACCAATACACAACTAAGGTGGAAAATGTGCAAAGAAGGAAGGACTAAAGCTCTAACTTTGGCTAAGCTTTGGACGCAGAATAGGAGACCTAAAAAAGGGAAATAAGCATGGTACTAAAAGCAAGAAAATTACAAGTTACTTTATTAAAGCCACTAGTTTGATTTTAAAAAGAACTAAAGATGCAAATAGGATAAACTATAAATACTTATGGGCTATAGTTTCTTCATCTACTGAAGGACATGGCATATAAATGCCCAGATTGCTTCCAGCTCAAGCAAATTTTATCAGTTGGCAATTAGAAGTTTGGGTGCGTTAGGGCAATTTTAGTGGACTGAGAGAAAATTCAGGTTTCAAGGGCCTATTTAAAGAGCAACTGGGTAGTCAATGGTTTATCTCTGATGGTATCATCTTTGTCAAGGACTTTCAAAATATTCTCAGCATATAAAAATTCACAAACATTTGCACACATCTATTTAATCTGTAGAACTGACTGTTCCAGATATAAATACAGCTAGCTGTATTTTCATGAAATTCCTATTTTTACAGTAAACTTTAAAAATAAAATGTTACTATTAATCATAAGACATTGCTGAAACTATCTTTGATCTTAATATTAACTTGGAAAGGCCAGTGAAGACATAAAGAATGAGCTATGCCTGTAACTATAGCAACAAAGTCAAACATGGTAACTAGAAAATGGAAGACTTAACATCTTTTTAGGCAAGAGGGCCCTGACTCTGCTCCCTCTTTACATGGTGAGTACATTTTCAGTTTAAAAGGAATACTTAAATATTACTAAAAGAAATATCAAAAAGAAAGTAGTTGGAATAATATTACTAACAGGACAGTATTATTTTGGACAAACTATTAGGAAATATGAGAACCAACCCACTAGAAGAAACATTATTTATGAACTTGTGTGTACTAATAAATTTCCTAGAGAGAAACAGACCATATACAGGTAAAATAATAAAGAGAAAAACAAGACTATATACATAGTGAATGCATGCAATATACTTCTATTAGAAAATGACCATCATAAACTTAATCTGAATAGAAATGTAAATAACATAATAAATTGATTGAATGTGATCTATTCTGATGTATTTATATTTGTAGAATCCTATACCATAAAGAGAGAAAACATGCATTTTAAAACAAATGGAATAGAACATATGAAACATTTACAAAATTTTCTCAGACACCAGGTCTTAAAAAATTTTATTTTTAATTTGTTATGTTGGACACCAGTTTGTATATATTATATTTTGTGTATTTTAATAATATATTATATACATATATTGTTAAATATGATTTCCCTGCAGCTATATGTATTTATGTGACTAAGGTCTTGCTAATAAAATGGAGTGGAAATGATGAGGGCAACTTCTGTAGCCCTTGTTACAAGTAAGTTATTTGCCTTAGATTTTCTTTCTTTCTTCTTTTCTATAAGCTGGATCTCACATAGGCACAAATGAGATTTCACTCTGCAGACAAGGGAGGCACCTCGGGAGAGCAGAACAATCAAGATGGAAGAAACCAGAACACTTGAACGACCTTGTGAAGCAGAGCTGTCCCTCTGGCCTGGAGCAAGCAGACTGCCGTATAAGAGAGAAATACATTTCTATCCTATTTAAGCTACTCTAGTATTTTTGCTATAGAAACTTAGAATTGATTCTAAAAGCATTTTTCAAAGGATTTCAAACCGCTGGAAAGATGTAGATCCTTTCCAGTTAATGCAGACATGTCTGTATAGGATTTCAATTACTTTGGTATTAACTAACCCACTAACACATGTACTCTATTACCAGCAAGTTGATGTCAGATCTAAATCCTTTTATCTACAGTACATTGTTCCCAATTTTCAGTTCTCCCACGATTCAAGATTGCACTCAAATATTTAATGAGAAAACTGCTGTTTCAAACAAAGGCTAACTTTTTGCTTATCATAAAAAATATATATATATAAAACTGCCAAAAGGATCAAAGATTCTACAAAGCATTTAAATTAGTAGACAGTTTCATGCATTTATACCTTAAATAGATTGTCTGAGAGTTTTGTTCTAAGTAGGGAGAGAAGAGACTGCAACTGAGGCTTATAAAATCTAGTTCTTAGATTGAAAACAGACAAGGAAAAGGTGTTGATTTCTGAGTGTCAACTATGTGCTTGGTGTTGTTCTCTTTTATCATATGCCTGCATACAGCTAATAATCTCCAAGAATTAGATGTATTTAGTTTGTAGTATTTCATCTTATCTTTTAAAAAATCCTTATAAAGAAATTATTGTTAAATCTATTAATCGGTTGGAGATCAGAGTTGTGAAATGGCTGCTGTGGAAGGTGAACAAAGATCTCTCTAATCACTGGACTGTTTTAGAAAAAGAGTAAAGTTTGAGAACTAGAAATAATTTTCTAAATCCTTGAATTTTTTTCTAGTGTAAAAACTATGACAAAGAAATCTGTCATTAGTCTAGATATTGGGGTTTAGATATCCCATTGATGCTTACAATGCTTAAATAGAAAATTTAAATTTTAGTGGATTTAAATAAAATATAGACAGGTAAGCATTTATTTCAGAGAAGGAAATGGCAACCCACTCCAGTACTCTTGCATGGAAAATTTCATGGATGGAAGAGGCTGGTAGGCTACAGTCCATGGGGTCACAAAGAGTCGGACATGACTAAGCAATGAACACACACATACACACAAGCATTATTTCATTTAAAGGAACTTGGAAACATTACATAAATCTAAACAACAATTTATATCTTTTTGAAATTCATCAAATATTTATAAATTTATCATTCACCAAATATTCATGAAATACTGAATTTGGCAATTAGCAATATTCAGCAATATATTTTATTAAATATCAGCAGACTTTATTAAATTTGGTCAACAAATTTTAATCTATTTATTAATATCTAGCTCTTTCTTTTATTCTCCACCATTGCCACATTCCTTTTCTCTGACTTCTTTAAAAGAAATCTTTCTTTACAAATATAAAAGTGGAGCATTGTGAATATATTTATCAACAAATACTTGTTAAATAATGCTATCTTTCAAGAAAGTGGTGCTAGGCATATTGAGAGAGAAGAAAGAAAGACAAGGATTCACAAATCACAAGGAACTTGCTAGGTTATTTAGGAGAAAAACTGATATAGCAGAAATAATACAGTGTACAATAACTGAGCATTGAAACTGAGAAGCCGAATATGTAAAGCAAATATAAATTCAAAGAAAGAGGTGGTTAGTGACGGTGAGAAGTCTTCTGTGAACCAGAGAGGATATTAGAGAATGACTCATTGCCAACTTGTTAAGTCTATTCAAGTGTTTCTTTTAGAAAAGACGGCCATTATGGACATTTGTGTTTTTAAGACCAGTACTTAACCTTCAAAGCACATTTCAAAACAATCAATATATAGTATAAACTTAATAGGATCTATGTCTTGAACTTATGCAGTATTTTATTGTGAATTTGAAATAGTCTCCATGTAAATTCTCCTACTATTGTACTGTGTACCAGTCACAGTCAAGGTAGGAAAACAGAAACAATTATTGTTAAACAAAACAAAATAATAAGAGAATTTTATAGAGGAAATTAGCTAGGCTGATATTAGGAAAACAAAACAAAACAAGAATACTAACATGGGAAGAAATAGTAACTGTAAGAAGTAGGTAACAGCCCTAACTAAGGCTAAGGGACCAAAAGGAAGAGTAGGGTTATCAGAAGTTAGCAGTGCAAAGGAATGACCCTGCAGATCTAGAACCAAAGAATTTGAGGGGCAGATGCTGTAGGGTTAACATTAATCTCTGGAACCTCAAAGAAGACCCCTGTGTAGTTGGGCCCAGACCCTGAGGGAGGAAGGCCAGCTGTAATGCTGACATTGCTGTCAAGGCCACTTCTTTTTTTTTTTTTTCCCATTTATTTTTATTAGTTGGAGGCTAATTACTTTACAGTATTATAGTGGTTTTGCTATACATTGACATGGATCAGCCATGGATTTACATGTACTCCCCATCCCGATTCCCTCTCCCACCTCCCTCCCCATCCCATCCCTCTGGGTCTTCCCAGTGCACCAGCCCAGAGCACTTGTCTCATGCATCCAACCTGGACTGGCGATCTATTTCACACTTGATAATATACATGTTTTGATGCTATTCTCTCAGATCATCCCACCCTCACCTTCTCCCACAGAGTCCTAAAGTCTGTTCTGTACATCTGTGTCTCTTTTTCTGTCCTGCATATAGGATTATCGTTACCATCTTTTTAAATTCCATATATATGTGTTAGTATACTGTATTGGTGCTTATCTTTCTGATTTACTTCACTCTGTATAATGGGCTCCAGCTTCATCCATCTCCAAGGCCACTTCTAAGAGGAGTGAACAACCTGGGAACTAGAGGTGATTGCTGCTGCACATGGTAGAGGGCCGAGGCTGGAGCACGGCCAACAAGAACAAACAAACAGATAAACGAAATTCCTTTCTCCCCTCTCCTGTTTTTTTTTTTTTTGCACTTGCTCTAGTGTCCCTATGGCAGAACCTAATGGGGAGCCAATTGGCAAAGAAGAAATGTGGTTGGCAGAGGACCAGCCACAGCATCATAATACTCCATATGGAGGATGAACTCATAGCTGACAACAACAGTTTAATAACTAACACAATTATGTTCTAAGATGAGGACTGGAATGTAAACATTTCATAATAAACTTACCATTTTACTATGAAATTGAAATCCCTCCCACATAATTTTATTGTACTGCATTTAGCTTTTGTTATTGCTAAATGTGCATCTCTCAGTGGGAAAAAGAAAAAAAATTCTTGAAAGGTGAGTGAATGTAATAATATTTAATATAATCACCAACTATTTAAAGATTATCACTGAAAGGAAGAAAACATTTCACTTTCTTTAGAGTTGTGTTTAGAGAAAGCAGAATTTTCACTGGCAAATTAATACAGATGAGAAGGAATTAGGGACTACAGACCATCCATATGTGTGCTAATGAATAACCACTACATACCAAATGAGAAAGACAGAGTAAAAGAAGGCTAAATGATGATACTAATGAGCAGCAGCTGTGGAACATTCTTCATGCTTTTCCTACTTTTGTAGGTGAAGCAGAAAATCCCTGTCTGTGATCAGGTGCTGGCTGGATTAGAGTTATTTTACAGCTCTGTTGGGGGAAGATCTGCTTTCAAGCTCAGCCTTGTAAGTGTAAGGACAGGCTCAGGTCCTTGATGGTTACTAGCCAGAAACACAAACTCCTGGCTACATGGGAATCCCTTAAGGTAGCAGTGAAATAAAGAAATACATATATTTCTTCCCCCTGGTTCCTAAGACAGCATTCCTAAAACTCTTGTAAATAGAATTGCCAGGAGAATCTTTTTTTCTAACATGTGTAGTTTGAGCCCCGTTCTTGACACAGAAGACTGTAATTACTTTAGTGATAGGAGCATTTGACACCAAACTCCCAAATCCCTTGAATTTTCTGGCTGATAGAAATGTCTTTTGTTCTTATGAGGTGATTTGGTAGGCTCCTAGGTGGGAGCTGGTAACCAGAAAGGCCAACCCAAGATCAGAAGTTTGAGACTTTCAGCCCCATGCCCCCATTCTCTGGAGAGGAAAGAAGGGCTGAAAATGGAGTTAATGCTCCTCAGGCCTATATGATGAAGCTCCCATAAAAATACCCATATTATAAGGTTTGCGACCTTCTGGGTTGGTGAACACATTCTTGTATCAAGAGTGGTACTCCACAACTCCATGGGGCCCAAAGCTCTGGCACTAGGGACCCTTTCAGACCTTGCCCTATGTATCTCTTCTTTTTTGTACATCATCTTTATTCTTTATCATATCCTTTATTTTATAGCAAAGTGCTGAACTTAAGTGTTTCCTGGATTCTATGAAATGTTACAGCAAATGATCAAATTCAAGGAAGGAATCACGAGAACCTCTGATTTATAGGCAAGTCAGACACAAGTTATGGGTAACACGGGGATCTACCATTTCAGACTAACATGTGAAATGGGTGTGACTCAGATGGTAATGAGTCTGCCTGCCATGCGGGAGACCCCAGATTTGATCCCTGGGTTGGGAAGATTCCCTGGAGAAGGAAATGGCAACCCACTCCAGTATTCTTGACTGGAAAATCCCATGGACAGAGGAGCCTGGTGGGATATAGTCCATGAGATCACAAAGAGTCAGACACAACTAAATGACTAACAATTTCAAAAATTTGGGGTACAGGGTTGTCTTGTAGAACTAGCCCTTAACCTATAGTGTCTGTGCTAACTCTGGTTAGCATCAGAACTGAGTTGTAGGACACACAGCTGGTATTGCAGAGAACTTCTTGGTGTAGGAAAACTCCCCATTCATCCATACCATAGAAATGATATGAGGGAGGCAGTAGTGTGAGAGTTAAAGAGAAACACACAGGGAGTAATTTTTCCTATACAGCAGCTCACAGCACAGAATAGGGAGTAAGAGAGCCAGAGAGATCACCCAATATACATGCCACAATCTTCCTATAATCTGATCTCAGAAATGACAACCCATCACTTCTGCTGCATCCTACTTGACAGAAGCAAGTCACTAAGTCTGGTTCACATTCAAAAGCATACAAACATGTATAAATACCA